AATACTGGAAAACCTTTTATTGGCTGTTGGTTTATAAATTAACGTTCTTTAGTTGTTTAGACTACTTGAAAGCCTGCACTTGGCTGTTAGACTACTGTTTATGTGTTGCCCACATTATTGAAAATGCTTGTAATAGCATTGCATTAGTTATACTGAAGTGTTCACATTAATGTCTTGTCTCTTTTAGAATTAAATACAAATTTCTGGCAGGTCTTTTGATTTTCCTGAATGATTGTGGATCCATGGTTTGCATCTTATTATGACAGAATCACAGTTAGGAATCATTGTAAGAGTGACATTCAAATCCTGTTATTTAGTTAGAGTAGCCCAAAAGTTGGCAGTTAATGCTGTTGACTGTCAGCCATCCCTCTAGCCCATCAGTTCAAAATTAGGGGTGACTAGTGTAAATAGTTCATATATAGCTTGTGCATGTATCCAAAACCAACAAAAATTATTTCTTTAAATTTTCTTATTTAAAACAGTGTTACATACTGTAATAGATAAGGTATTAACCTTCTGTTGAAATAGATTGTTTTAAACAATAACCATTGTGTGATTTCTAGCAAATGGAAAGATTTAAAGTAGTTGAAAGAGAAACCAAAACCAAAGCATACTCAAAAGAAGGCTTAGGAGGAACACAAAAAGTTGATCCTGCTCAGAAGGAAAAAGATGACGCATCCAGTTGGTTATCTGTGAGTATTAGTCAGTTTCACAGTTTACAGGTGTATGTTTGTAATGATATTATGAAAGCTAAATTGTATTGAAAGTTATTATATGCTAATATTGATTGTAAACAAATGATGTTAAAAGAGACATTCTGTTAAGGTATATCCAATATCATATATATATATATATGTGTGTGTGTGTGTTTTAGTTGTTAAAACTTGAAGGTTAATTTCTGACTGAAAAATGAATACTTCAGCAGTAAAAATGTGGCTTTGATTGTGAAGATTACATTACATATAATAGTAGATTAGGACAAGTGAACATCAAAAGAACATGTCAATGATTAATTTAAATAAAATCGAAAGAACGTGCCAATGATTAATTTAAATAAAATCAAAAGAACGTGTCAATGATTAATTTAAATAAAATCAAAAGAACGTGTCAATGATTAATTTAAATAAAATCAAAAGAACGTGTCAATGATTAATTTAAATAAAATCAAAAGAACGTGTCAATGATTAATTTAAATAAAATCGAAAGAACGTGTCAATGATTAATTTAAATAAAATCGAAAGAACGTGTCAATGATTAATTTAAATAAAATCGAAAGAACGTGTCAATGATTAATTTAAATAAAATCGAAAGAACGTGTCAATGATTAATTTAAATAAAATCGAAAGAACGTGTCAGTGATTAATTTAAATGAAATCGAAAGAACGTGTCAGTGATTAATTTAAATAAAATCGAAAGAACGTGTCAATGATTACACTACAGTTTTCAGTTACTCCCTACACTACACTACACTTTTCAGTTATTCCCTACACTACACTACAGTTTTCAGTTATTCCCTACACTACAGTTTTCAGTTATTCCCTACACTACAGTTTTCCACTTCCAAAATACATTTTTCCTTTGTTTGGTTGTTGATTTAATAAAGAAAATTCTAAAAGCAATCATAGATGATCTGTTAAACATATTTTTAATATGTACGATTTAGTGTGTGTAATTCGAAATTGATTGTTTTACATAGTATAGGTTTTGTGAATTTTTAGGCATCAATAGAAGCTCTAAACATCCAAATTGACCAGTTTGAAAGTGAATGTGAATCTTTGATGATTGGACTCAAAAAGAAAAGAAGTGATAAAGAGGTGAGATTTTTATTTAGTACCATTATTCTTGTCTCTGATTTACTGTGTCTTTTGGTGTATATTTATAGCCAAATACCCTGTACAATTAGTAATTTCTAAGCTATATTTATGAAGAAATATGTCAAGTTCATTTCAGTTAAGTGTGAAATTTTATATCACTAAGCTTCCAGAATAAGTTTATGATTTTTAAATTTACACATATTGAGTGTATTATTTTCCTACCAAGTTTAAGAAGTACTAGATTATTCCAAAAACAAAGGATTTTCTTTACGATATTTGTTGTAACAACTTACTTTGGCTCCTTCAGGAGGTTATTTCACCTTGAACTTGAGTGGACATTTTTTTTTTTTACATATATTATTAATTTCAAGTATGGACAGCTTAAAATTTAACTGTTCTTGTTCAGAGTTGACAATTGGACATAAAATATGTTGTCCACTGGGTATGAAATGTGTTCTTGTCTAAAGTTGTCTACTAAACATGAAATATGTTGTTATACAGAGTTGACAATTGGACATAAAATATGTTGTCCACTGGGTATGAAATGTGTTCTTGTCTAAAGTTGTC